GGTATTAACTTGGTGGCAGTTTCAGCTATTATGGTGAGAATGTAGACCGCAAATGATGTTCAGCTTGTGACTCATAATAGGCGTATTCTAACAGACACTCGTACTTCCGTACGTCCCAACTGTCGCGCTCCCTCAAAGGTCATGTGGTACATGCACGAACAAATACGAAAGTTGAATTTACACCACTCGTTCTCCTCACTCTAGTTAATCCACACCAAAGAAGAGGAGCACTAGACTTGAGTTGTGCTCTTATTTGGATGCGTCAGAAGCGCATCAGAAGGTCAGACCGGAATCTGAACCCCAGACATTTGATATGCGAGGTGAGTGTCATACTAGAATGGTGCACGCTGAACGCACCAGAACTATCACATCTGCACAGGAGGGCGCGATCTGTCCATGTTGTTGAGTCCATTTTGGGAACAAGACATAGCGTGGTAACCGTATTTACCGCATTTATTATATCTCATTTTTGAAACTACCTTAAATTTGTCATGGATTAGCTTGTTAGCTTTTACCCTCAGCGTCTGTCGTGGTTTCCGGTTAGGGACAGTTTTAAACAAGCTCCACTCCTTTCGACGTCTTTCAACAACTAATGGACTTCATTGTCACATGTTTTGGGTGAATTCAAGGATTTCAAGACAAAGTACAGATAGCTACGGTCTACTGTGGGAGAAAACAGGATGAATTCGACCGAAAGTTCTGACATTAGTGTCATAGTAACCTTGAATTTTCTTTCAAAACTTCTTCCTTTCTCATACCCCAAATGTATGTGTGTAGAAACTTGAGACACTAGTTGGGTTCCTTCAAACAGACTTCTGATGCTTTTTTAAATCAGTTTATTTGATGAAGTTTTTCAGTAAATTTGACTTCTTGGGGACAGGCAAGTAACACTGTACTTTCTCCGAATTCCTTGATTCTCAGGACTGACATCTTACCTTCTTGAGAACCGGTGGTTTTGAGCACTTTGTAGTTGAAAGCAACAACTGTTTCTGTTTCATGAACTAAGAACGACGATTTGAAGGGATCGCACCAAATTATCCACCAAGTATAGTGTGTTAAATCGTAAGTGGGTGAAGCAAACACAGTAGTGCAGGCATATGGGTGGATAAATCTGATTTTTATCTCGAGCAAAGGTCATTTATCACCGATACGTGTCTGGGTTAGGCGAGAAATTTGACCTGATGCGTGCAATTGTCCGACGAGAGACGAACACTAAGTAATTTCAGCTAGAGGAATGGGGCGAATTTCTCTTCTGTTCAAAGTCTGAATGTGAGGAGTAGGATTGCGATAGCTTCCGTAATCGTGAGATTACGTAATACGACCGCTTTGAATCGGGTTTGTGGTATTTGGTTCTCTGTCCTAAATACGGTGACCCGATTAACAATGCTGTCCTTGTCGAACAGATGGGTTCAAGTAGAACCCTGGATTCTACCTATACCTTCTGAAGCAGGCCACTTTGTGCAGCCTTCTCTAGTCTGTTTAGACGACTGCACATGAACTTTAACTCACAACCACCGAAGAAGTTGACCCTCTTGGTTTGCCATAATTTTTCAGTAGATCAGGCCAATTTGAAGAGGAACCGAAGTTTATTGGCGCTGAACGATGGGTTTTAGTAGTGAAAATACTTCTGACTAATATGTAGGCTATCGGTTCTGTTTAGCAGATTGAGTGAGACGAACCTATCAGGTTAGTTGTTTTTTTATGGCGTTCTGGAAAGTATCGTGATTTTGAAGCCAAACACTGAATAAGGTTTTTTCTCGTTGTAGATAAAGAAATCTAAGGAATATCGTGTAGCTTTGTGATACACGCTTTTCTGAATAAAGTCACCGGTACATTCAGCCACTTATCTATTCACAAAAAGGTTTGATCATTCAATATCCGTTCTGAGTTAAAATCGACACTCGTACTAGAGCTTTTGCGTCGATTTAGGACTTATCTGGATCACATCCTTCGCCAAAATATGTCGTCATTATATCTGTGCTACTTGACAGGTATATCATTCATCTTGGTTCTTGAGCTTAGTTATATGGATATCAGTGACTAGTGGGTCCAGCAATCATTCCGTGACTAATTATCCTTCTGACGTCAGAAAATAGGACCATACATACAGGTGAGCAATAGTGCTTCGCCGAGGTTCACTTGTGAGCAGACGGTTGCACCAGTAAAATGTGTTTTTATGATTGATGTCACTTTTTCCTGTGACGTCCATGAACTGAATGAATCATACAGGTTGTGGAAGGCTATTTGTTTAATGGTAGACTTACAAGGTTCGGCCGACTATTAAGGTGCAGAATCCTAACTCAATTGTCCATGGCAACGATCCGACGTATCGGAAGTCCTGCTTTATTGGGTTTAGGAAATCCCAGTTGAAATGGCAAAACTGGAACTCTGAGTTTCATGTTGTCAAACTCCTATATGAATACATTACCCTGACTTGAAAGCCCTTTCATGAACACAGTCATTTCGACCCCCAAAATGAAGATTGACAGACTTCTCAGTTTGGTGGCATGGTTCATTTAGTATCTAATGGACGTGATGATTGCATACTGTTTTGAATTGAGTTACCAGTGAAAAGTTTAACTATTTAGTTCCTGTAAGGGACGACCCACAATATATATATATATATATATATATATATATATATAATGTATACTCCATCCACCTGACACGATTAGGCACTTTCCCCAATTCATCACTGTGTTATGCTACTGGTTTGAGTGTTTGCGTAGCAAATGCTTGTGAGACTCCACACTCATCCCACAGGTGGTTCACTAGGTGAGAACACGATCTGTAGTATTAATGGCAAAAAAAATGCCTCAGACGAAATTTCAAACCCAGCTCCTTTTACAGGGAGACCCACTTTGAGAAATAAACCTATGTCCATGCCGGAATATTGAGTTCATCTGGTGAAATCTTTTCACTTCCGAGTATCTTGTCAAAATCTTAAGTGGGAATTCTTTCACCTACTACATTGTGCGTGTATGGACTACAGCGTTATAGTCCTACTAGCTGTCACCAACGTTTACTTACACCGACACACCATAATTAACCGCCCAACTCAGATAAACATTCAGCGCAATTTCCTTATCTTACTACCAGACTGGTGGTTCGAAAGTAGAACCGTCGCGCGAGACTGTAGTAAGAAGTATGTTACCCGATAACAGTGTAAAAAAGGAGTACGGAACATGCTTGCAAGCTAGTACTGCAGAAGAGGAAGGAAAGTAGTGTGAGCAGGGAGGCGAAAACAGAGATGATCCGTTCAGTTCACTTCAAGTCATTTCATGTGTCACTCCCAATAAACATGCTGAAATCGCTGTTCATGGTGTCTAAACCCAAAACCAAGTATATACGTTCAGCTGCACAAAATTAATATAATAATATCAACGGGAGATTTGCGTACAGGATATTTGACAGTCCCATTCAGCAGCGCCATCTATAAGCAGGTGAAGTTAGACAATCCCCTAAAGTGATAAGCAAAATTACGACGTGGTTCTCAGAAACCTGGATACCGCGGCACGTGTACACTGCTACATAATCCTATGGGCACACATCCTATGTTATGCTGTGGAGCTACACATTTACCCGTGACCCAGCCAAGGGATATTCGAGTGACGTCAGATTATTGTGATAAGATGGGTACGGAAGACATCGAAGGTGGCTGGTAATGAGGATGTAACAAATACGAAGAGAGTTCGGTTGTACACTCGTGGTGTGCATGTTGTTTTGCTGCAGTACTTAGGACGATGGGCGAGTGGAGTTGGAACAGTTAGGTTAGACAGCAAAACGAAGGTGCGTAAAAAACATCACAGGAGTGCTAATGCAAATCCATTAGAACACATGTGAATATACTCTCAGCCCAAGTAGAGTGGTAAAAAGTTGGTTGCAACACAATGTACAACACTCCTTGATAGATGGATATATATATATATATATATATATATATATATTGCTGTGGTGATACTTCCGCGTCACATGACAGCGGTTCGGAGTTCAGATCATAGCCTTGCTGATGAGCTCTGATGAGAGCGAAACTCCATTCTAGCAGTTTCTTCCCTTAGTGCA